CTGATAGGATGCATGGGATTATTTCAATTTTCTTGTATCTGTTGAGGTCTATTTTGTGACCAATTATTTGGTCAGTTTTGGAGAAGGTACCATGAGCTGCTGAGAAGAAGGTATATTCTTTTGTTTTAGAATGAAATGTTAAATCCATTTGTTTCATAATTTCTCTTAGTTTCACTGTGTCTCTGTTTAGTTTCTGTTTCCATGATCTGTCAATTGCTGAGAGTGGGCTGTTGAATTCTCCCAGTATTATTGTGTGAGGCGCTATGTGTGCTTTGAGCTTTAGGAAGGTTTCTTTTATGAAAGTGGGTGCCCTTGCATTTGGAGCATAGATGTTCAGAATTGAGAGTTCATCTTAGTTGACTTTTCCTTTGATGCGTATGAAGTATCCTTCCTTATCTTTTTTGATAGCTTTAAGTTGAAAGTCGATTTTATTCAATAGTAGAATGACTACTCCAGCTTGTTTCTTAGGACCATTTGCTTGGAAAAATTGTTTTCCATCCTTTACTCTAAGGTAGTGTCTGTCTTTGTCACTGAGGTGTGTTTCTTGTATGCAGCAAAATGCTGAGTCCTCTTTATGCATCCAGTCCATTAGTCTATGTCTTTTTATTGGTGAATTGAGTCCATTGATGTTAAGAGATATTAATGAAAGATGATTGTTGCTTCCTGTTATTTTTGTTGTTAGAAGTGGAATTATGTTTGTGTAGCTATCTTCTTTTGGATTTGTTGGAAGAAAATTACTTTTTTGCTTTTTCTAGGGTGTACTTTCCTTCCTTTTGTTGGAGTTTTCCATATATTATCCTTTGTAGTACTGGATTTGTGGAAAGATACTGTGTAAATTTGGTTTTGTTCTGGGATACTTTGGGTTTTCCATCTGTGGTAATTGAGAGTTTTGCTGGGTATAGTAGCCTGAGATGGCATTTGTGTTCTCTTAGGGTCTGTATTACATCTGTCCGGGAGGATCTTCTAGCTTTCATAGTCTCTGGTGAGATGTCTGGTGTAATTCTGATAGGTCTGCCTTTATGTGTCGGTCTCTGGTGAGATGTTTGGTGTAATTCTTATAGGTCTGCCTTTATATATTACTTGACCTTTTCCCCTTACTGCTTTTAATATTCTTTGTTTTGTGCATTCAGTGTTTTGACTATTATGTGACTGGAGAAATTTCTTCTCTGGTCTAGTCTATTTGGCATTATGTAGGCTTCTTGTATATTCATGGTCATCTCTTTCTTTAGGTTGGGAGGTTTTCCTCTATAGTTTTGTTGAAGATATTTACTGGCCCTTTAAGTTGGGAATCTTTGCTCTCTTCTATACCTATTATCTTTAGTTTTGGTCTTTTCATTGTGTTCTGGATTTCCTGGATCTTTTGGGTTAGGGGCTTTTTGCATTTTGCATTTTCTTTGACAGTTGTGTGTTTTCCATGGTATCTTCTGCACATGAGATTCTCTCTTCTATTCTATTTTGACCAATTATTTTGTCAAATGCCAAAAAAATTGTATTCCTTATGATAAATATAATTGGAAGTTTTAATGATTGCTTCAGATGACTTGACCCCAGCTGTTGCTACATATCCCTTTTAAGTTGATAACTTTCTTTCCAGTAAACTTATTGATTTTGCATCAAAAGTTGATATTCTATTTTTTAAATGTACCAGGCCTCAGCAGATATACTCTGACTAGTATGTATAAGTGCCACAAAAGATGGTAAGGATGCCCTGGTTTCTAGTATGGCTTCCTTACAGCACTTTATTCGCTAGTATATAGACATTAATTTTTTAAAAAAATTTGGACAAGGAAGGTCCCTCTTTGAAAATTTAGTTACAGTCCTTTTGAGAGATGGTACATCAGGTCAGTGAATGGCCCAGGTCCAGTAATTCACTGGAGCCAAATCTATGTTTGTATTTTTCCTCAGGGCACTAAAAAGCCTTTGTAGATACCTGATAGGCTGATTCTACCTATGGAAGATGGATGAAGAGCTTCCAAAGTTTCTGCAGAAGCTTTCTAAAGAAAAAGAAGAGAAAGAAGAGTTCTTGAGCCATGATGACAAGAGTATAGTTCTAATGAGATCGAAGTATATATAATTAGTAAACCTCCACATGAGGGGAAAAATGTGTTTTTCCATACAGACATATAAAGGATAGTTTAAACAATTGAATAACAATATCAAACAATAATGAGTAATTTGAAGTAAACTCACTCCTATCTGCAACCCATGAGAGGAGCACAAAAATACATTCCAAGAAAAATACTGTGTTTTGAAGACACTTAGGTCACAAGACTCTTGTTTTCTTGGAGTGCTCCTGTGAGCACTCAGAATTCATATATGACCCAATTTCAAGATCATGTTCCAACAATGCACATGAACTCATTTTATTTTTTAAAAATCATAAACATAAAAGCCCTTTTTAATATAAGAGACACACACACATCTTTACGCCACTAGCATACTTGGTGCCTAAGAAAGGCAGAAAAATTCATCATCAGACCTTTTGGCCTAGGATTAACAGATATGTCTGAATCATCTGATGAGGGTGCTAGGAACAATACTTGGGTAAACAACACCAGTAGTGCTACTGAGTCCGAGTTTAAGCCCCCAAATATATCATTATAATGGAAAAGATGAAAATGGCCAGTTACTCCTTCTATTCTCTATCACTCTCAGGTGATGGGAATCCCTACTACATGGTTAATGAATGATTGATTTCTAAGAGTGTTAATGAATTCTATATATTGTTTCTTGTTGTCAATGTTTACACAGTTCTTTTGATGTGAATCAAGACAATGAAAGACTTACTAACATAGAGATAAGTCCATATTATGTTAACGAAAATTCCATAATGTAAGATAGATTCTTTAAAACTTTTTTTAAAACGTACTTTCATTTAAAATGTGCATAAGTATTTTTGCCTGTAAGGATGTCTGTGAGGATGTTGGAACTTCTAAAAATGAAGTTACAGTCTACTTCTAAGCTTCCATGTGAGAGCATGGAATTGAACCCCGGTTTCCTAAAAGAACAGCCAGTGTTCTAAATCTCTTAAGTCATCTTTCCAGACCCCTGCCATTTATTTTTTTTTAACACAGGACCTCTTATGTACCTATGACCATCCTGGAACTCTGTGGACCAGCTAGCCTCAAAGTCAGAGAGATCCACCTGCCTCTCTCTCACAAGTGCTGGGATTACATGTGTGCACCACTCCATCCAGCTGAGATATATTTTTAAAATGAACTATCTATGAATCAGAGAATAAAGTGATAATATAAGATTTAAATGGGAGGGCTGGAGAGGAGGCTCAGTGGTTAAGAGCACTGACTGCTCTTGCAGAGGTCCTGAGTTCAATTCCCAGCAACCACATGGTGGTTCATAATCATCTATAATTGAATCTGGTGCCCTCTTCTGGTGTGTCTGAGGACAGCAAGGGTTTACTCACACACATAAAATCTTTTTTAAAGAAAAAAAAGAGATTTAAACAGGAACACTAATTGTTTTGAACAGTAAGACTTCTTGCAATTTTAAAATATATTAAACTAGTAAATAGTAACCTATCTTCCAATTATTCTGGTTAATTTCTTTGCTTTGTTAACTTCATCTCTTCTAAATGTTTTAACTGTGTATAGATATCTGTGCAATGGTGTGCATGTGCCAGTTACAGGACAACTTAGAGGTGTCTATTCTCTAGGTCCTCAATGTGAGTACTAGAGGTCAAACCAAGCTAGCTATGTTTGGCAGCACCTGGTGAGTGAATTCACTGGCCCTTATTTTGGTTTCAACAATATTTATATTATGTTCTGCTGTGTGGGTGTATATACAACCCAGATGTAGTATTCAGAGAAAAACTTGCATGAGTAATGTGGCTATCCAAGAGAATGAACTTAGGACTTCAAGCTTACCAGAAAACACCTTTACTCCCTGAGACAACATTCTGGCATTCATTTGTATTTCTATGAAAAGTGTTAAGCATAAGATTTAGGCCTTAGAATAAACTAATCCAAAAAATAATAAATGACAAATAAATATTATTTTCATTCAGAATACTATTATTATTATTCCAATTACATGCTATTCCTGTATTTTGTGATGACAATACATATAAAATTTGGAAAGGAAAAAATATTTTAAAGAAGGAATGGTTCTATTAATCTTAATCAAGAACCAACAAGAGAGCTCAGTGGGGAAAAAAAATTGGTACGAAAACCTATTCTTCATTTCTTAAATGGCTGGGGGATTTTTTTCTCTGTGTGAATTCTTTCATGCTTTTGAAGACTACTGCTATATGCAAAGGCTTTACCACATTGATTACATTCATAGGGTTTCTCTCCAGTGTGTATTCTTTCATGAATATGAAGATACCTTTTACGTGCAAAGGCTTTACCACATTGATTACATTTATAGGGTTTCTCTCCAGTATGAATTCTTTCATGGATTTGAAGAGTACTGTGACATGTAAAGGCTTTACCACACTGATTACATTCATATGGTTTCTCTCCAGTATGTGTTCTTTCATGCTTTTGAAGATTACTGCTATATGCGAAGGCTTTACCACATTGTCTACATTTATACCGTTTTTCTCCAGTATGAATTCTTTCATGCTTTTGAAGATTGCTGTTACATGCAAAGGCCTTACCACAGTGATTACATTGATAGGGTTTCTCTCCAGTATGAATTCTTTCATGCATTTGAAGATAACTGTTACAAGCAAAGGCTTTACCACATTGACTACACTTATAGGGTTTCTCTGCAGTATGAATTCTTTCATGTACTTGAAGATACCTCTTACATGCAAAGTTTTTACCACATTGATTACATTTATAGGGTTTCTCTCCAGTATGAGTTCTTTCATGCATTTGAAGAGTACTGTGACCTGTAAAGGCTCTACCACACTGACTACATTCATAGGGTTTCTCTCCAGGATGAATTCTTTCATATATTTGAAGATAACTGGAACATGCAAAGGTTTTACCCCATTGATGATAGTCATGCTTTGTGTCTCTAGTATTAGTTCTACCTACTTGATTACTATTCTGGTGTGTAATGAGTTTGTCTTCTTGATTATATTCACAGCATTTCATTTCCAAATGAGTTCTTCGGTGTAACTGTAAAGAGGATTTACCACATTGATTCCACTCACAGAGGTCCTCTTCATTGTAGGTTGTCTTCTGTATTTGAAGACACCTGTGATGGGTTAAGCTTTGACTGCTTGGCTCACATTTATCACTTCCTTTTCCCATATGAGTTTGCTCATGTCTCTGAAGAGGACTGGAAGAACTCAGAGATTTACCACACAAATTGCATTCATAACATTTTCCTATAGTGTGAGTCACACTACATGTGCAAAGTGAACCAGGACAGACAGAAGACTTTCCACCTTTCTTGTACTCATAGGGCTTTTCTCCAATGTCAGTATTTTGATGTATTTCCACTGAAGCTGGAAAGCCAAGCACTTGTAAACTTGTATCCCATTCACCTCCTCTTCTCACAAAGGGAATGACTACATATCTTCTAATTGTTCCAGGAAAGAGATCAGAGGTACACTGCTTCTTTCCATATCCAGAGGGACAGTTGATACACCTATTAAAGGAAGAATAAAAAGTAAAAGATGTTTATATTCATACACTTTAACCTTTTGTTCCTCATAAGACATGTAGTTTAGGGATTCAAGGATCTCTACTACTGCACCTTCTTGACTCTCATAAACGACCTCTCTCACTATACTATGATACACCCTACAAGTATATGAGTAACACTAGCTTTACTGTGGAGGATTTGCTTAAAACAGGTCTTGGACATACATTAATCCCCTAACCAATATGCTCACATTTTCTGATATTTTAAGAGCGTAAAACTAAATGGATGGACTGTAGTTTTTAAAACAAAATCCTAAACATTAAATTTACCAAATCAAGACTCAGGAGCCAGATGCTGTGGTGAAAGCCTGCTAGCTCAAGGGAGGCAGAGAAAACACCCAGCTGACCTTCCTACTCCACCAATGCCACAGAAGCAAAAGCTCCTTCTTCTGCTCCATGCTATCTTAAATACCCTTGAACTCAAAGATCCTCCTTTTCCTTTCCTGGGTTTTCTCCCTGTCAACTGGTCAATAGCTCTATCTCATTCACTTTACTAAACACTTGTTTACAGAAAGCTCTTGGGTTAAAGGTGTGTGCTAAACCTGAGCCATACCACAACAACAAACAGGTTTTTCCAGTTCACAATCTTGGGTTCAGAATGTGATCAAATGTCCCACAACAAAGGACAGTACTACAACAGGGTTCTCAAGTGGCTTTGATTGAAACTGTGACATCTGTTAAGGCCTTGTGCCCTTTCCTGTTTCTTAAAGGAGTAATTTTTAAACACTGATCAAATACCTGACCTTGAGAAATATGGTGTTGTGAGAATTTAATAAGCCTTACAAAACTGTGCTTGGTTAAACAAGTTTTTTCATTAAAATTTCAGGGTATGGTGCTGGAGGGATGGTTCAGCGGTTAAGAGCACTGACTGCTCTTCCAGAGGTTCCGAGTTCAAGTCCCAATAACCACATGGTGGCTCACAACCATCTGTAATGGAATCTGATGACCTCTACTGGTGTGTCTGAAGACAGCTACAGTGTACTCATATACATAAAATAAATATTTAAAAAAAATGATGTCTCTTTAGCCAGACAATGGTGGTGCACATCTTTAATCCCAGCACTTGGGAGGCAGAGGCAGGTGGATTTCTGAGTTTGAGGCCAGCCTGATCTACAGAGTGAGTCCCAGGACAGCCAGGGCTACACAGAGAAACCCTGTCTCGAAAAAAAAACTTAAAAAAAAAATGAGTAAATTAAAAAAATAAAATAAAAATTAAGGTACATTAAAGTTTCTTCAGAAGCACATATGTATCTGTTTGCACATGACATGAAAATTACCTTCCATGTCTTCCAGAACTTTGACAATTATCTTCAATACTGTGATCTTCCCATATGTAGCCTAAAACACAGTACCAAAAATTATGTACTGGAAATTATGCAAAATATGAATTATTATATTCTGTGAACCTTACAATGCCCAATTTATTCACATTTTTCCTCTTTCACAATCAAAATCACAGAAGAGCACCCATCTCTAACAAAGGCTTGTCCCCTAGGTTAAAAGGTGAAGGAAAATTCACATTTTTACCTATACAAGTAAGGTTCCAGTAGGTTTCCAGCATCACATCTTTGTAGAGACTCTTCTGAGAAGGATCCAGCAAAGCCCACTCTTCTCGGGAGAAGTTCACATGAACATCGTCATAGGTCACTGCATCCTAAAGTGTCCCATACACACACACACACACACACACACACACACACACACACACACATATTAGAAATAATGAGACTGACTGCAATATAAATGCACTTCATTGAAAATATATTTACATAATTCTGTGTGCCCAACATATTAATTCCAAGTCAGAGGTTTCAAATGCAATCACCAACTCATTTTAGAAAGAAACAGTAAAGGAGAATAACGTCTCTCATTTCTATTAACACTGAATAAGGAAGACTTTGCAGGAGAAATGCCTACTAACATATTCAAAGACAGATAAACAGAGGGGCATAATTGAGGATACATCAGCAAAATTACTAGCCTCAAAAATGGAGGAAAAAGATGAGTGTTGTGGCACTCACCTTTAATCTCAGACCTCAGGAGGCAGAGGCAAGTGAATCTCTAATTTTGGGGCTAATCTGTTCTATGTAGTGATCCTCAAGACAAAGGGACATAAGGAGACCCTGTCCCAAAGAAAAATACAAAAAATAGACAGAAAGCACACAGGGACTCACAACATTCCTCCAAAGAGTTAAACACTCACTCCAGAAACGTACTTGTCTGTCAGAAACTGGAGGGACCTTGTATAGACTATAATGCTACTATAGTGTTCCTATAAAAAGTGCAATTTTAATAAGTTACTGACTGACAGTCAAAGGGTTCTCAAAAAGACTAATACAATAATGATCCTAAGAAAATAAAACATTAACAACACCAACAAAAATATAATAAGCTATGAAAAGATGACTTTACAATGAAGATCACTTGTTTTTGCAAAGAGCTTGTATTAAACCCAGGCCTCAATTTGAGGCTCCCAATCATTCCTGGCCAGGAGAATCGAAAGCTCTCTTCTTACTTCAGTGAACACCAGAGTTTCACACGGTTCTCATCTATAAATATAGGCAAAAGACTCAAGCACATATTTTAAAAGTTAAAAAAAAAATGAAGTGGTCTGACATAACTGTAGCCATTTTGTATGTAGCCTCTGTGTTGCACATAAGGTGAAAATAAGTTCATCCTTTTTAGGAGTTATTACTTTAACTGACACAGAAACATGTTACTAATAAGCCAAAAAGTTATGGTTGAATTACTTATGCTCTGTGTCTTGGGGTTTTACTGCTGTCAATAGACACCATGACCAAGGCAACTCTTAATTGGGACATTTAATTGGACAACATTTAATTGGGGCTGGCTTACAGATTCAGGTTTAGTCCATTATCATCAAGGTGGGAACATGGGAGCATGCAAGCAGACAGGGTGCAGGGGGAACTGAGAGTTCCACATCTTCATCTGAAGGCTTCTAGATTCCTGGCTTTTGGCAGCTAGGATGAGGATCTCTTACAGCTCACACCCATAGTGACACACCTACATCAACAGGGCCATACCTTCTAATTGTGCCACTCCCTGAGCTGAGCATATACAAACCACCGAACTGTTATCTCAGTGTTCTGAAATTCCCCCGTGCACTATCTATCCATCACCTCTCTTACTTCACCTAGGACCAATCAGCTTAAATAATATTTACGCTGATAATCAGCTGATAATATTTTGTCTAGCTAGCCAAAAATGTTGTACCACTTCCGTGCCTACCTTATAAACTTTTGATCATGGTTTTTCCTATAAAACGCCTGCCCTGAGAACAGACAGTACCACATCTAGGCTCCCAAGTACTTTTTGTGATCCTGATCCATCGTAAGTGTTCAATACATTTTCATCATATCTGAGACTGGTGTCTGAGTGGTCAGTATGTGGCTAATCCTAGTCCTCAACAAAAACATACAGAGAGTAGAAAGAATGCTATAAACCTAATTCTGGAGATCAGTATTAATGTCATGTATGCATGCCATCCTGGTGTAAAAAAATTATACCCTCTGCCAAAGTTATGAGTTAAGATGTGATGAAGCTCAGCACAATAACAAATATTAGACACATAGAAATACACAATTCAACAAGACAAAAGGCTAGAAAAATGACTTGCCAAAAAAATGCTTCTATTTTACTGAACATTATACAGGAATAGCGTCTGTAAAAGTGGTGATGGTGTCACTATATGAAAGGGGGCTACTCAGTCTCCACCAGACAGGGTACACAAGTGTGATGACGGTGTTAACACTCAAAGCCCGATCCCAGGGACTACCTTCCTTTAGGAAGGAACTGTAAGTACCCCAGTGAAGACCACAAAACAGAGACAAATGCTTAAATACATCATCATACCTGGAACATGTTTCATTCAACCCACCACATTTTCGCATAGGACATTACACACATACATAACAACAGCAATTACCCTGACACCAAACACCTCCATAGTATGTCACAATCCCAACACTGTTGAAACATCCAAAGTTTCTTTGAACACTCAAGGCAATCTCTTAACTTTGACATCTTATAAATTCACTGAATATTTAACTTCTGAGAACTGTACACCTATCAGGGACCTGTGCCTGATGGGGGATAGCCTCACTTAGCAGGAAATGAGCTAACCTTGAGTAGAAGGCATCTGTGTAGTATGCTTCCATCTTGGCTAGTATGTTAATATGTTAATATTATATTACAATGCAGAATTTGAGCTATAAATTCAACAAATGTCCAATAAAAAGTGTCACCATTTTTGATGCCAAAGGAAACTGATGAGAATAAGTAACCATGAATGAAAAAGTAATCAACACACAAGACCGGATAAATATTAAACACAGTGACAACTTCTAACCTCAAAACATCAAAAACAACTGCAATAAAAAGAGCAATAAAAATATAAACAGCAAGAAGAAAATAGACAGACAGACAAAAGATAGAAAAAAATTTCTTCCCAACAGGGAGTAGACAACTCTTCTGGCTGGGATACAGGCTTCCTTAATATAACCTTCCCTACACTGTC